GCTGTCAGTACATAATCTTTCACACTCACAAGATATCAAACATATGTACTCAAGTTGAATCCTACCTTCCATAATAACTTAATTTTCCCCAAAAGGATGTGCAGTTAAATATACAAACTAATGCAGCCCAGCTAAAGACTTCACTCCTGGGACAAAGTACAGAATGCTTTTCCCACTGACCTTTTTCAGCTCTGTTAAATTCACCTGTACACAAAGAACACTTATGCCTTCTGAAGAAACAGCTGACGATTTAAACAGTCTTTTTACCTTAGGCTGCTCCCAGTTTAGAGGTTAAAAAAAAAAAAGTAATAATTGAAAAGGTATCCCATCATTATGCTGATGCTGCTTTATGTTAAAATTTGGTAACTTTGAAATAAAGTTTGAAATAAAGTTATGCTCTAGCATTTATATGTATGCAGTACTCCACCATAATTTATGAACAAAATTCAGAATTTCATTTTAACTAAAATCGCTTGGAATTAGATTATGTTGCAGTTGCCATCTAACAACCAATCTCCACATTTTTCCCCTTAACAGAAATACACATACGATGAAAAAGCCTATTTCTAGAAATCAAAAAAGCAACTAAAAAGATTTTCATGTTTACAATTGCATTTTTAAGCCTTATTAGTTTCACATAATTTTTTTGGGAGGGGGGCCCTAACTGATTCATCCACACTTCGTTGCACCTAGGAATACTATTGTGTCTGCTTATCTGGAATTACACAGGTGTGATGTGGAATGGCTGTGTTCAAAACCATGCAGTTTAATGTGCTCATGATAAAATATTTAGATTTAATGCAGGAAAGGCATTATTAGAATATGCCTAGTGCATGAAATACATACATTAAAACAGAAAATAACAATTACATCAGTTCTTATAGCCCCACACAACAGCATTTAACTACAGATTGTAAGCAAAATAAATATCAAATAATAAAATGCAATATGTTGTGGAGGAATACTATTTCCCTTAGCATAATAAAAACATTGTACTTGAAAAATAGAAAGCTATTTTAGATAAAATCAGGACTACTCTCTTTGGTCCATGTCAAATGTTCAAAACTGGTTAAATTATTGTTTTTTTCAAAAAAAGTTAACAGCAAACATCAAATCATCGCTACTCAAGTACTGAGATTAGTTTAATAATGTCAAAATTACCACAAGATGAATGACAATAATTACTTGGAAGATTTTTTTCCTACAATAGAGCTGCAGTTTTTGAGTCAAAACAAAATTTTTTGATCTCGGCAATAGGTCAGGTCAATCAGAGCAGCGACAAATATTCCTTAGCTGATTCCCAAGATGAGAACCAGAAGACTAACCACCTCAAGTTGTATGTATACCAATATGCATGGTAATTGTGGAAGCTTTATGGAATGCCTCTGAGTTAAGATCAGAGAGGTTGTCCCCGATTCTTACTGAAGGCATCTGCTACTGACCTCCAAACCAAGACAATAATGCCAACAAAGCAATATTTGGGTCACTTAGGCAAACTTTGGGTCACCAGAATCTGGTTCTTATGAGTGATACCCAGAGACTTGTTGGAAGAACAATACAGCAGCTCACATGTTACCCATCAAGTGCCTGGAATACATAGAGTACATATTTGGAATACAAATATTAGATGAGCCAACCAAGAATGAGACACTGTTGGACTTGCTACTTATAAACCAAAAAAACCTGCTTTGTAATATTCCACTTAGTGATAGCCTTGGCTGCCACAATCAAAGTATCGTGGAGTTTGGGATCCTGCTGAGCACGCTGAAGACATACATTTTAGATTAAGAAGAGCAAACTTCAGCATGCTCAGACCTCAATTGAGAGGGATGCCATGGTCAGCACGGAGGATAAAGGGGCTAGTGAGTGCTGGGAGTTTTTCAACAACAGTCTCCTGGAAACATAAAACCAGTTCAACCCCTTTAAGGTCAGGAAAGCAGGCAGAGCAAGAGACCACCTTGGGTTAACTGTGAACCTCTGAATCTGCTCACAGCCTGAAGAGAAGCATACCAGAAATAGAAAAGCAGACAAATAGCCATGGAGAACTATAAGGACATTGACAGGGTGTGAAGAGATACAGCTAGAAAAGCAAAAGTTCATCTTGAATTGAAATTGGCCAGAGATGTCAAAAACTCCAAGAAAGGGTTCTTCAGGTATGTAAATGAAAGCAGAAAGAAAATATCAGCACCCTGTTAAAACAGGAGAGTTGAACAGTCACCAACAACACTAAAAAAGGCAGAGATTTTCTCAACACTTCCTTCCCCTCCATCTTTATCAGCACTGCCAGGCCCCCAGCCCTGGGACACAGAAATCCAAGTTGATGCAAACACAGACCACACTCCCAGACAGTGAAGGAAGAGTTGGTGTGCAACTTGTCACAGGAGCTTGAGCCCCATCTACAATAAAGGTTTAAAGGAGGATTGAGGAAATTATAGGCCCATCAGTCTTTACTAGAGTCCCTAAGAAAGTTATGGAATGAATCCTCTGGGGGGCTACCACAGGTCAGATGAATCACATGATTGGGAAGAGCCAGTAGGGATTCACCAAGGGCAAATCGTGCTCGATGAATCTGACTGCCTTCCATGACAAAGCAACCTGCTCAGTGGACATAGCACCAGTGATGGACATTGTCTACCTAGACTTCTCCAAGGCTTTTGATGTGGTTTCCTACAGCATCCTCCTAGAGAAACCGATGTGTGACGGTCCAGATGAGAGGCCTGTGCAGTGGGTGAGGAACCGTCCAACAGGCTGCACCCTGAGGGTGGTGGCAAGTAGTTCCTTTTCAAACTGGCAACCTGTCACATGTGGGGCCCTCCAGGGACTGATACTGGGCCCAACACTTCAATGCCTTCATAAGTGATCTGGACCATGGGATCAAGCATATCCTGACAAAGTTTGCTGATGATACCAAACTGAGTGGGGAAGTGGACATTTTAGAAGCAAGAGTCACCCTGCAGAAAGACGTACGTAGGCCAGAAGAATGGGCAAACAAGAACCCTATGAAGTTCAACAAGGATAAGTGTAAGGTCTTGCACCTGGAAAAACATAATCCAGAAGTGCAGCACAGGTTGGGATCAATATGGTTGACCAGCAGCTCTATGGAAAGGGACATGGGCGTCCTGGTGGACAAGCAGCTCAATATGAGTGAGCAGTGTGCTGTTCAGCAAAGAAAGCCAGTGGGATGATGGACTATATCAACAATGGCATCACCAACAGAGATAAAATCATCATTATCCCACTCTAGTCAGGCTGCTTGTCAGGCCACACCTGGAATACTGAGTTCAGTTTTGGTCTCTGCTACACAAAAAGCCTACATGGACAGGCTGGAGAGGGTCCAGAGAAGGGCCACAGGGATAATCAATGCCTGGGAAGCCTGAGATATGAGAAAAGACAGAGAACTGGGTTGGTTCAGCCTTGAGAAAAGAAGGTTTAGGGAGGAACTTACCACCATATTCCAGTTTTTGAAGCATAGTTATGTTTTTACAAGGAGTCACATGGAAAAGATGAGGGGTCACGGGTACAAGTTACTCTGTAAGATTCCAGTAGGAGACTGGAATAATTCTATTGGAACAATCTCCCCATGGAAGTGTTGGATTCCCCAACATTGACTGGACATTTTTAAGATTTGGCTGGACAGGGTGTTGGGCTATCTCATCTAGACCATGCTATTGACAAGAAAGGTTGGACCAGATCATCTTTGAGGTCCCTTTCAACCTGATATTCTATGATCATACTGATAAACTGGACGTGTGTGGAATGTTTAAATCTTTAACAGTAGCTTCTAACAAAGCAGTAGAAGCTTTCTCACATTAAATATTATATTCAGTACTCCCACCTCTTCCAAAGACTAAATTGTGTTGATGCATTATTTGTTCTGCACAAAGCAGAATGTGCCTAGTGATACAACGCAGAGACAGGCAGGGCTATTTGAAGATAGTGCTAAAACAGCCCATATGGACATCTGCACAACGCTGGATTGTCCAAAGGGAACCAGGGTACCGTCAGTGCCATTCACACACAAGATATCTTCGTAGAATAATGAAGCGAGGCGGGGGGGGAAGGGAAGGTTATCTAAAGTAATTTTATGTTTCTTGGAAAAGTTATTTCAGTTGTTAGTATGTGTCAGGTATAAAACACTGCAAAGCCACCATTCATATATATATATATATGTATACACACATGCACACATATATCCATAAACTGCACTGACTAAAGCACCTTGGGCTTAACAATGGTCTTTCTAGGGATGTGGAATGAAACTTAGAAGTTTTGCAGACATAAGGCCACTTATACTTCCTTTCACTGTTGGAGTTATTATGCAGTACGTTTATGCTATGATCAAAGAATACTTCATGGACAAACTATTTGTCCTCATAAATTCCTCACAAGAAACAGCTGAAAACAAACTTCTGTCAAATAAAGCTTTGTCTCTGTTAAGCCATTTAAGCATTATATTATCTACCTGTCCCTTGCTGCTAGGCAATAATGACATACAATGCAGAGACAACTAAGCACACAGGTTTTTAAAAGTGATTATAACAATCTAAGAAATAAAAATTACTTGGAGAAATGTAACTTAAAAACTTCCAAATATGCCTCCTGCAAAAAAAGGAAAATTACAATGGCAACAATTTCATTGGCACTGTAATTAAAATGAAGAATGAAGTTCATCAATAAAAGTATATGTATCTCATCAGTTAGTAGTAGTCTGATGCAGTTTAACCTAGTGAAAGACAGCAAGTCATTGATCATTGGCAGTATAACAGCCTCTAGAAAAAATACAAGTTGGGATGTTCAAGGAAATTTGGAACCTGGGAAGACTTTTCAGTGTGAGTTAATGTGGAGACAATCTAAACTACAGAATACAGTCCTTCATTATATGGTTGGTTTTGATTCAGACAAGCATTTCCAGGTTGTCAAACAAAATGTTTGATGTCTGTTGAATAAGACATTGTATCAAGTAACCAAATGAAATTGAAATAACCAAAACAGAACAAGAATGAAGATGTAACAGGTTTTTTTTTTAATCCTCTCCCCTAAATATATATGTAACAAGGCACATTAGGAGAAATATCTTCAATTATTTTATTATTCAATTTGACTTAAATACCTGAAACCAGTTTTCTCACAATTTAAGACAATGGGGAGAAGTTTCAATTGCTTTTTACAGTTGTAATAATTTCATTGTCTACTAAAGTGCAATGGTTGTTTGCCAAAAAGCATAAGCAGAATGTAAAAGCCCCAAGACAAAAAAACAAACTACAAAAATAAGGTTTTGAAGACACTCAAAACAATGAGAGTATATGTATTCAGCCACATTTTTAAAGCAATTCAAAGTCAAAAATATAACACTGAAAATGTTTAAAAACCTATATTTTAACTTGTCCCCTGCAAAGCCCATAACTGTACATTTTCCAAACAAGACTTAAATAAAGAAAACAAATAATATTAGCTTTCTTAGTACTTAAAAAAAAATATGTGGAGTGAGATAAAGGCAGACAGGTTAATTTGTTATTTTTGAAGCACTAAGCAATGACTGGATTGTAAGCTATATTTTAACCATATTGTTTTATCTGTGCAGTAGGTGCCTACTGTTTTCAACAGCCTGGAAAATCTTTTCGACATCATAACAGCAAAACCTTTGAGCAATTTACTCTCCCTTTCAGTATTCAGAGCCAACTGCTGAAAAGCATTCAGATGAGGAAAGATGTAAAAGATTCCTTATTCCTCATAGAATTTTATGTCTTTTAAATTTTGTATCTCATAAATAGTCATTAGACCTAAAATTTCTATTTACTCCAAAACACATTTAAGACATTCCACATGCACAACACTACTGTCCCTTTTAAACTAGAAAAGCACAAACTACTGGAAGCTAAGTATTTGAAAGTTCCAGGTATCTTAATCTTTCCAAAGTTATGAAGTGTTCAGAAACAAGGTAGTAAATACATTAGTGCTGCCCCACTTCCAAATTTTTGGAGTATAGCAACTATTTTATTAAACTTAATATTTTTGTTCAGTAGAAAAATGGTATATCATGTTTTTACCTCTCTCCATTTTCCTCATAGGTGTATTGTCTGAGAGTCTGTTATATTTGTGTGTTCTTTACAGAATACATGTAGGGTTAAGGGCCCCATCACTGCTTAAATAAATACAGGGAGCTTATTTGCAACAAATATCCTTTCTGAGGTTTGTAGAATGGCTGATAACCATCTGTATGTTTAAGAAAAAATAATTTCAAGGAAAACATCAATTTAAGGTTTGTTTGTGCATACACAACAGATTGTACTTAGTAACCTTCATACAGTCTCCTTAAACTCCTGATTTCTGACAGGTTAAAATCACGAAGAAATGTGCTAAGCTTCAGAAAACTGCCATAAGACATTCTTCACATAGTGCTAATTATATCAGCATTGTTAAAGCTGTGGTTCTTAAGCCCCATCAAAATTCATCCACATTTTGAAACAGATCTAACAGTTGTTTTGAATGCTGAACAAGAACATTCAGCATTGAAACAGATTCTGCTAATACAAAAGTCAGTTATCTTACCATTTCACTAGAGCTCAAAGAGAATTGTGTACGTTCACAGCACTCTGCCATATTTCAAAACTTACCCAGCCACCTGCTCAGAATTAAACTCCAAGTTTGGCACATACAGCAATTTTCAGGACCACTCCTTAATACTTTATTACATGTTAAGAACAATGATTCCATCACCAAGCATTAACCTGACTGGCAGCTGTTCAAGGTGCTTCATCTCCACTCCGCACACCAGGATTGCACCTTGCCTGTGACCGAGGCACGTGAGGTGCAGTGCAGAAGTACAACAGTTCCAACACTAGAGGACAGTCTGTTCATTTGACTGAGCCTCTAGATTTGTAGTGCACTTTCCACATAGCTTCCTTTCTCTTGCACAAGAATTCAAGTTCATAAGCTGATGAATCCACTTCCAGGAAGCTTCTCCTCATATTAAAGATTTCCTTAAGACTAGTTGATTTTCCCCCCTTCTACATAAGTCTCAAAGCGTTGCAAGAATTCTTGAAAATGAGATAATTAATGTCAGTACTGTCTGTCCAACACCAAAGACAAGAGCTTCTAGGGGAGCCATATTCTTCCCTGCTACTCTGTAAATTCCAGCTACTGCAGCACCTAAGAATCACAAGAAAAACAATTATCAAATCACAGAAAAAGCCAAGGTTGAAATATGACAAATTATTTACTGTCTCTATGCATCAGCTATTTATAAAACGTTACCAAACACTTTATTACTTCATGGCATAACACAATTATCAGCCTTGCTTGTGTTCTTCTAGTTATGTATGTCCTTCAGGAATGATTTTCCCAACTGAACCAGAATAACTTTTCCTCATCAGTCTGATTTAAGAAAATTGAATTAGTTGTTTCCTTGTAAACATATTCAATTGTTTCTTTTTACATTTTTGCCTTCTGTCAGTCTGAAAAGTAGCAAAACAATCCTCTAAAAATTGATCAAGTCCAAAGTGTGATTTGATACTGCTTGTATAAGCAGGGAGAAGACAACAACAATACAGCTGTTAGCATTTACAAAATAATTGTAAACACACATTTATCAGTTTCATTTAATATTTCTGTTGACTAACCTGGTCATATTATGTCAGTTTAGTTTTGTCTTAAAGACTCAACTGTTAACAACTGTTTAGCAAATCAAGTAAAACACAAAAAAGATCAAAGTACTGCAGTGTTATCCACGAAGTGTATGAGAGGAAATTTCTAACAATTAGATTTTGAGCTGTAACACACTAAAAATCAAGAGACCATATTTTTGTACAGTTCTGTACAAATTCACATTTAAAGTATAATACCAAATGGCCAGGATCAATCAAAAACAAAGCCAGATGCTACTAACACTGTAAACAAAGTCAGATGTTATTAACTCCCCTCTACTGTCTTTCACATACCAAAACTATCATGTGCATTTGAAGAACAAAAGTCACAGAGCAAAGGGATGTCACAGAGCAAGTGGCTGAGAAAGATGAGTCCTTGTATCAATCAAAAAAAAAAAGCACAACAAAAAATGCTAATGATAAGTGATATTTTCCGCTCAAATTTCTGAGTCTTTTAAGGATGGTAAAATGTTTACTCAAAAAAAGAAATACTCGCTTGTATACAGTTGTGTCCATAGGTAAAATAATGTACTCAATCCAAACCTCAAAAGTTTACCTAGAATTAAGCTTTCATTTAATACTTTTTGAACTAATATTGTCTATACAGTGCTTGTTTTCTTCTCTGAAGGTCAAACATTACTATCTTTTATTTTCAGAATTAATAACTTTTTCCTGAAAACCAAACCCAAAACTTAGTTGTAGGTCTTCAGTGTGCATGGTATCAGATGCTATCTAGTCATAACTACATGCTTTCAGAGATCATAGAGGCTTTTTAAGGCTCAAAGAAAACTGAAAAGCCAATACAATTTTTTACAATAATAGACAAGAGACAAAACAAATTGAATTTGTTTTTTGTTCTGCACAGTCACTAACAGGAATAGTCTGCTGAAGTGATCAAAAACCCAGTAGTATCACAGAAATATTCTGAGTCCCAACAGATTTTCTGAAAGTACAAGCTGTATCTGCATCATCTGACGTCTTCAAAAAGGAACACCTCATTTTTACAAAATTTTTAGGAAGAGCAGAATTCACTAATAATTGTGGCCATAACAGTACTTACAAACACTATTAATGAGACTGTTAGGTAAGTTTGGGGTTAATTTATTTTTTATCGTTGTTTTTTAAAAAACTCAAACATATTCTATAAAGTACATTTTGTCAGAAATATCTCACCAGAAAGCCTGCCTTATGGTATTTCACTCAACTGCCTTGCATAAGCTTTTTCATTTGTTCCTTGGCTAGCTGCTGTCAGAAAACAAAAGAGATCCTTTAGTCTATTGACACGAAAATTATTTTTGTGGTTGAATTCTCAAAGTGAATTCAAATTGGCCAAATGTGCATACTAGAATTTGGCATTATTAGTTAATCAATAACAGAAATGTTGGGTTTCTTGAGAAAACACTGAGATATTCTGGAAAATATCCATAATAAAACAATAAAAAACCCTGGTAGTTTGCTAATTATGTATTATTACTCAAATAACAGTGTGTAATACAACCTGTAATGCCTAACCCAGCACCAACCCAGTTGGTATAGTGCCAAAGTACGCTACAATAGGCTGCCAATAAGCAAAATTAGAATACGTCACCAAAAAGGACTGTGCTGGGGGAGAGGAAGAAGAACAAACGCTTCTGGAAGGCATACAGCTAAAATCCTTGCCTTAAGCTGCCTGATATTATCTGTTCTTAGTTGGCTTGGGAAGAGTTTTTGGTTGTTGTGGGTTTTTTGGGCTTTTTTCTTGGTTTTGTTGAGTTTTGGGGTGGGTTTTCTTGATTGGAGGTTGGTTTTTTAATGTATCTCCTGCTATTTAGTAAATTTTTAATACCGTTTTTAATAACCATCAAATTCCATGATTTTTTTAAAACTTAGAAACGAAGGAGTTTCCTGCTTTTCTGTATGCTGGTAAAGAGACCCCCAGAAGACCCCAGAAAGCTGGAAAGATCTACCTGAGCAAAATTAAACTTGCATTATTTAATAATCTATATTGCCTTCATTCACCTACATGAACAACACAGAAGACTGGAAATACAAAGTAGAAGTTGATGTCAGTTTGCTATTTCAATTTCTTAAGCCTTGTTTGGACAAGGCATATCCAAACAACTAATGCTTCAACTTGCATCTCAGAGTTTGCAACACAATAGCTATGAAAAATCCTCTTTAGTATTTGATCACCATAATTTGTCTTCACAGAAGCTCTCCAAAGAATTTCTTCCAGAATGAAACAACCCTATTTTGGCCAGAAACAAGAAATACCTGAGAGTAAAAGTATTTGGTTAACCAAGCTGCAGTGCTCCATGCAAAACCTTTGGGAATAGTACAAGTCTACAGTCTAAGCTTAGAGAAATTCTCAGATGCATTTGCATGGAAACAGGACTGCTTACTTGCTAAATGTTTTGACCTGAGAAACTGGATGCCAAAAATACAACTCTGTTGCTCCTCTTTTTATGCACAGATAAAAGACGCAAAGTGCTTCCATTTGAGAAACACTGATCCTGAACCTTCCCCACCACAGAAAGCTGCGAAAGTCTCAGCTTGGATATTCTAACATCATGTTTCCTAATTTCAGTTCTTCAGAAATGCCCATGCATGGCTGACCCTGTAACAGGTCACTGCCATTTTAATCATAAGACAAAAATCAGCATAATGTATACTGCAAGGCACTCACCTAGTTCCACCTCATCTTAGCAAAAAAAAAAAAAACACAAAAATGTAGAGTTATGCTGAACTATACTATGTTGAAGGGTAGAAATTCTAGGCTGAGAAATATATAACAATTAAAACAACCCTTTGAGGGAAGTCTTAATGAAGCTTCTTAGGAAATCTGCATTTTTATTTAACCTTAAAAACCAACAGGCAAGAAGGATTTTCAGTAGGAATAAGAAATAATCTGTCACAAATTATCCATGAAATCTGTCCAAAGCTGAAGTGATAGCACTATTCAGATGACCTGGCCAATACATAGGGAAATAGGAATAAAAGGCAGGAAGGCTTGCCTACAGAGTAAATGATGTTTGCTAGATTTACAGTTCCTTACCCCCGAAGGCCTTTCAAGTTAGGCCATCTGGTCAACAACACTGAAGATCTTTGGGCAAAAACTACTGCTCAGTAAACATAGGCACCATTCAATACATTGATTTGAATGTTGAAACCTTACCAGCACTGTTTCACACAATGAAGCACATGCTTCTTTCCTGCAAAAAATAATATTCACTATTTCCCCTGCAACAGAAAACTCACCATGCTCCTAGTTGCTTGGGAAAGCTACTGTAGTCTATAAGTTAGATAAACGTAGCTAGATATGATAAAGCCAAAGACTGAATAAAGTGTCCTAAGGGTTTTATGGCAGTACTGACACAGATAACAGAATTTCTTAGGAATAATGGAAAAGCGGCATCTGATACCAATAACTCTAGATTAAAACAGCCAACCAGCATTTCCTCAAAACATTCTTGGCAACGCTGGCCATGTGTCACATTCGGTCAGGTGTAACGCTTCTGCACTTTACTACATAAAATACTCCCACTTTCTGCAGTGTTCTAATCATGAATATAGGTTTTAATAGCTTTAACAGAAAAAGGGTTGCATCTTATCTGTGGATACAATACCAAGAAACCAAAAAAAAAAAAAATGTATCTTGAGTGGTAGGCATTAGGCTAACACCATAAGAAACTCTGTAACAGATGGCCTGGCAAACATCATTTTACCTAGAACATCAGTACAAACTAATTTTTTTTGGGGGGGACGGGGAGGAAATCCTTAATAAACAATTAGTAATTCACTTAAAAAAACATTTTTTTCTTTTTAGAAGTTATATGCAAAATAAGAAAGAAAAAAGAACCCAACAAAAAAGCCCAAACAAAGCAAAAGGCAGACTTACTGGTTATCATGGCTCCAGTTATAGAACCCAGAAATCCAATGCTGACCACAATGACAGAGATCAGCCTCCCCTGCCTATGCCTCTGCAGCATCACAAACATTAATACTCCCACAGCACCATGGACAAAGAGAGAGGAGAAGAGAGCCCAGAGGAAAACCCAGTACCACATCTCTGAAAGAAAGCAGTCAATAAAGGGTTAATATTTTTTAAACAAGAACTTTATAAGTAAGAAACTTTAAAACATCGCATACAATCAACAGTAAGAGAAAAGCAATACTGGTTTCCATCTTAAAAGTAATACATGTGACACCATCAGCACACGCTCAAGACACTTTCCCACTTTTAGCAGTCTACCATAAAGGAATAACTACTATGATAAAAATTATAAAAAGGATTCTGGCAAAAATCTTAATTCAGATGTATTTTTACAGAAAGTCATAATTCCTTTAATGGTTTCTTTAAACAGTGTTAATTGCAATTTCTTAACAGGTATTGTAACTACTGCTGCAGAACGAAATATTCCCTGACAAAAAGACTGAATGAGGAAAAAGTCAAGAATGTTTTGGGGGTTTGGGTTTGTTTTGATGGTGAATTTATATTTTGGTGGGGTTTTTTTTTGTTGTTGCCCCCCCTCCCCCTAACTCCATCAATAAGAGACAGCATCAGGTAACATCAAATGGGAAAACTGAGATTAAATACTTCAGTTTATCTACCCAGGAGCTGTAATAGAGCATTCCATCAAATTAGCTTCAAAGGCGTTAATAAAAACACCACGATTTTAAAAAGAAATTCTAACACATCTAACTCCCTGTTTTCAATTGCTTAGCACAGAACTTCAGAGAGAGGTAGGCACTATTATTTAAATTACTAAACAAGGACAAGAGATGTGAGAATGTGTGGAGTACAAACACTTCTTTGAAGAATGGCAGACATGATGATCACCTTCAAAGAAAATAGCTAGAACCATCAATGAAGCTACACAATAATTAAAGAACCTTTCTCACTTAGTGGTAATTTTCTAAAAAACTTTCACTATAAATCAAAAGGGTGGGTAAATAAAAGAAAAAAATCCCCTTTAAGTCAACTACAGTAGGTATATATCATCACAGAATTCAGCAAATTGGGGTACATATTCCCGATGGACATAACACCAAGACACTGTCATTAGTTCAGAGTTTCTGCTGCAGTTCCCCTTCATAAAAAGAACAAAGACCAGCTTCCTTAAAACAGCAGAACACTTATCGTTCATGAGGTGAGTCTGTAATAAAGCAGCTTGACTCACATCAGCTATTCAAGTAAAAATACAAACCAACTAGCTAACAAAAATCCTGAGCAGCACAAAACATACCATGAAAAGACGCTGAGAAAGAATGGTTGCTACACAACCACAGTCCTATGAGTCCAATGTCAGTAGTGTATGTATATCCATAGCACAAATACAGAGTTTAAGCTTTTTCATCTAGCAGTTCTTTGAGAATAGACTCAACCCTTCTCCTTTCACACAGGCACGAAAGGCAAAACTATGCCCAAAGATGTACAACTCCTCTAAACTGTGGTAACCAAAAGGCTCTTTTAAGAGAGCAGCAAGGAAAGTGGGTGGTAAATCTACATTCAATTAAAACTTCAGCTATAGTCCCAGGTGTAACTTCTCTTTTTGAGTGCCTAGATACATGTGCACATACACTGAGAGTGGCTCAAAGCAGCTCTCCTCAGAACCTCTACCCCCCTTCACCCCTGGCCCCAAGCTGGGTCTCAAAAATCTTTGCAAAAGGGTAAAGACTATGGTACTGTTCTACTATGTCTCATTACTCTCAGAAGCTACTGTGACAAGTGGCAAGAATGTCAAGTAGTCATTCCACAGATGACAAACCCCCTCACTAACATTAAGAAAGATTGACTGCTGATCTAATCTGCTGTGGTCACGGGTAGTTTGGGAGGCAAATTTCCCCTGCAGTCCTAACAGGCCTTGTCCATTACTAGCACAGCTTGGGTGTTCCCACTGTTTTATTCTAGTGGAAGCACATAAGCAAGAAGATTAGCCAAAGAATCTACCAATACAGAATCCAGTAGCCCTGCCGGGGGGGAAATAAACCTTAGAACCAAACTAAACCAGACCGAGAAAGTCTATTTGAATCTGACACTACCACAAACACTGTCATACCCTGTGATTTTCACAGGGTTTGCTAGGCACTCCATCACCTTTTAGGAAATCAGCGTTTGTGGTCATTGTCAAGCCTCACCAGGTAGAAAAAACCAAATTATTTCCAGTCTTAGGAAGACTTACTAGGATGAAGGTATTTTTAGAAGAAAATGAAAGCTGATGGGAAGGCTAACTACTCTCCTGTAGCTAAGAAACCAAAAATATTTACAAACCCTTACACAATAAAATAGCTCCATAATGAGCAACTATCTTTGGTCTTATTTACATTCCAAATAAGGCTCTAGGAAAATTAGCATCAGCCCTCACTTATATTTAGGGCAGAAGGCATGAGAACAGAACCAGCGCCAAATGTCCTGTTGGCTAAAGGAATATAAAATTGAGTTCTTTGGTACACACTTTCTTCTCCTACTACTTAAAAGCGACACACGTACTGAATGCATTGAAAAGGAAATTAGAGAATATCCAAAAATATTCCTTGTTTGACAAAAATGCAGCTGCAGCTTTGTTAAATACGACCTCCTTTCATTAAAATATCACCTATGTCTTAGGAGCTGAAACAAGACAAACAGTTTTTGAGCACCATCCCTAGGAAAGGCAGGAAGAATTATTCTTTCCTATTCTCCTTTATTTACTCTTTTTATGCCTGCTACTTCAACACACTCATTTACTTCAGCTCATTAATTGATCGAGTGATGAAGCCAACTGAGTAAGTTGTTTAACATGGATGAACAAGGTAAGGGGAAAGCCAATCTTTTAAACAAACTAGAGGAGACTTCAAGATCTGTAAATCTAGAGGACAACGTAGACATTCTTATCCTGACATGTTGAGGGCAGAGAATTATATATTTCATGTTCTATAATCATGCAACCCCTGAATCATAACAAGAGACGACTCTCAAAAGAAGTGTGTTAGAGTAACACTGAAAGACACAAAGGATGGGTTGGGGGTAACATCGAGAGATGCCAATATAAGGCAGAGAAACAGAATGGGGACCTCTGAACACAAATGGTCAAGACTTCACTTGTTCAAAAATAACTGAGTAGTTTAACTGTTGAATTGACTTGCAGTATCTACAGGGAAGAGGAAATGAGACTGAAGTGTCTTAAGAACATGCTGGTACATTTATTTATGTCCTATATACTGACTGATACTTTAAGCAGCATAAACTTAAGTAGACAATCATCTTTGTTACCGTGGTAAACAGAAAGCACAGTTGAATTTCAGTCTTTGTGTAGCTATACTAGCTTGCTCTTTTGACAACATGAGCTGCACATACAGAGTGTACTTTGCTGTTGTGGTGGTAACGATTTAGCTGTATCTGGCAGAGAGCTTCAAATACTAAGTTACCCTCAGCTTATTTAGTCGGGCTCTCACAGAGCTTCCTTAAAGAGACATGAAAAGTATTAAATTTTAAAAAAACTTCAAAACTTCATTTGCTTAACCCTAGAAAAGTTTCGGAGCTTACTTTCAGTGTATCCAAATTGCTTTAAGTCACCAAAACTTGTCATATGTGTATCAAAACTCCACAGTTCCTAAAGAAATACAGGGAAGTAGAAAATGCCCAGTATTTACAAGCTCACAAGCATAGTGACATTCAATCTATTGCACAGATGTCACAGCTTTTCTAAGAAAACAGCTGAGATCTGTTTTTCAGGTTTACTTAAATTTCTTAGCATTTAAACACTACCTTAAATCTTGTTTTCAGTTTATATTGCTTTCCGCTGGTTTGCCTTTGGTGGGGATTTTTTTTCTACCAGAAAAGCTGCAAGACTCAAATAACTTGCAATTGATGTCCAATCACAGCAGTTTTAGAGTACTACTTTGGTAATTTCGACATGTATACATATCAGATGCCTATCATACATACATTATGCTTATGCTCTATAGATACACATTATACATATATTAGTGTAGGCATACACAGCCTTAAACTTTAGAAGAAGAGTCTTTAAAGTATGTTACTGTTTAGGATAACATTCATATCACTTTCAATTTATCAACACTTGAAGTTACGTTCCATCAACAGCTTCAACTTACACAAATAAAAATGCAAAGTCAACTCAAAATAGATAAATGCTAGCATTTTCAAATATTATCTATATGAACACGCTGTCCTACTGCTACTCAGCTTCAGTAAATACAGAGTACCTCCTCAGTCCTTCATCTTCAGTGCTTTTCCTCTAGTTCTTAGCTTGTTTTGCCAGATGAATAATGATTGCCTATAACATTTCATAAATCAAAAATGATTACTCCAAAACAAAGTATCTCTCAATTCTAAGCCATGTACCCAGCCTATTATGATTAGCTACAGAGTTAAGTCAAGCAGTAAATATCTGTGCTATGAATAAAAAAATACAAATTTAAGTCAATAAGGTAGTGCATGTTACATTTTGAATTAAAAAAACAATAATGTTATATTCCTGTAGACTTATTAATTCAAAGCACTCAGTTGAAGTGATAGTATATAACACCTGCAACAGTAACTCAGCTCTTTCTGTGCTACATTTTTTTCTTCAGCACCAAGTTCTCTACTTAATTAGTGCATTAACTGGTAATTTCAAAGTTAACAGAACTATACAGTCAGTTGTTTGGAGATGCTAATGCTTTTGCTGCTTTAAGTGGAAGAGGAGTACTTTGCTGAAGAGCATTTAAATCTTAAATTACAGGCTAGTTCTCTCAAGTAACAGGATATGGGACAAAGACAATCCAGAGAATTGGGGACAAATGACTACAGGATGGAACTCAGCAGCTTCTATTAGAAATATTGCCACGTTCTTGGTTACAGAAGTAGCATTTAAAAAATTTATTTTACTGGATACTCAAAGGAGGATTTTCTTTTTTTTTTTTTTTCCAGTTCAAATTCAGCTACTATCTAACTTGAATTCAGTTACTGTCTAACTTGATCTAGTAAACCCTGATCTACCACTAACTCTAAAACACATCCAGTTCATATAAAGGAGGTGTTCTTGGGATGCACTGGAGAAGGTAACACAGAATGAGGTAAAAGCCACCTCTCCCATGGTTACTCCTCCCAAGACAGGGCACGAAGATAGGAAGCAAGTGCATTATGGTGGTGGGTCCAGGCGCAAAGAACAATGTTCGCAGCTTCAGCTGTGTGTGATGTATAATGTGTATGTGGCAGGAATGAAATTGCCTGTGGTCTCCTGGGTATTTGAGGCCTTATATGAAAGACAGGATTTCTTTTTTTCTATGTTGAACCTAAATTAGATATGCAGTATAAAAATAATCTTTCAGCTTCTAACTAAGGGGAAAAAGAGCATACCAAATCAAACTGTTAGGGTTTGAAGCATTCCTGGACTTCATATCAGGTCCCTGTTGAAATTTTCAGAAAATATTTTTAAGAAGGATGCTGATAAAATTTTGCAACTTGTTTGCACAAACATGATCAACGTGGTTTATCTATAGAAGATAAGTTTTTACTTGTGCAATTTAAAAAGCCCAGTCCAGACCACAGCTTTAAGTCCAAAAGTAAACACAAGGCAGTCTTGAATATTCCTGAAGCATTGTATATTAATGAATTTCTTTTTCCAGTACTCTGGAGAAGTTTCTTCTTATACTTTACAGAGATGCAAAAGGGAATGAATTAAGTAGTCAAATAAGACAAACTCATTCATACACCTATTTTTTTAGCAGAATTTCTGATTTTAAACAAAGTTTACTTTGATAAGTAGTTAGGAAGGGTTTATATAAGTTATTTAGCTTTCTGCTAATATAAATTATTAAATCAATATATATTCTACGTTATATAGAAGATTTTAAATCCAGTGAAAGTCACGGACTGTTGACAGTGCATAGGAACATTCAGGTCAATAGGTTATGGGTAGAAGAAGAACCTGCATTTAAGCACCAATTCCAAATCTGTAGTGCAACTTCAGATGACAGTGACATATTCCCCAACAATACTATGATGGATAAAAATTATTTTTTATATTCTTTAAATTAATCAGAAAAAACATTCCACGTTAAATATATCTTATGCAACCCCTCATTATAATGCAAAAGCACTGAGAAACAAGCCATTTTGCTTTTTTAACTCTCAGCACTGAATTTTATAGTAACGCCCATGTTGCATAATGGTCTAATAGGAAAAACTTTATCAAGGATGTCTGGCACAAAGAAAAGTTAAATCCATTGTGAAATTTTTCCTTTAAGAGTACAAGATATATTTTTAGAGCAGGTATGCAAAAATAACTACTCAGAAAGTGAGTTGTATTAGTGTGTTGCCACACTAATCCCTGGACACTTTAATCATCAGACACACGTTAAAAAGTTCACAGATCAAATAAATAAAAAAAGCATTCTGAAAGTTAAAAGAACAAAAAAGATAATAAACCCTTAAATGATCATTTTCTGTTTGCTACAGCTTCAACTTCAGCTACACCTCTATTTTCATCATAGTTCTTCCACCTTTAATAGATAAAGAAAAAAGAAGAATAAATCTATCCATCATTACTACAGAGTGCAAAAAAGATGACACAACACTCATAAATATGAGAATATTTTCATAAATATTTAAAACATAGACCCTTTACTCAAAATTTTCCACTACTCTGTCACCACTTAATATACTCCTATACCAAGCAGAAAGAATTTACTCAGTTATGTCTCTGCTATTGATACTAAATCCCTGCTTATTCAGAGCTGGAAGCTTATGCTTTTCTTTACACCTAGACAGAATAAAAAAATCAGAAGATACTACCCTCCACTATATGCCTTGGCTCTCACAGTAGTGCACACACATTTTGCAGCATGAGATTGAGCAGAAAAAAAGCCAGTTCTTGCCAAAGCCAGCTAAATCTCCCCTCTCCTAACAGAAGATGAGGGCCTGACTCTACTTTGGTTCACAGAATTTTTTTTTAACAGGTAAGCCTTTAAGAACCCTTGATGCTTAAGATTATGTTTATTTGTCAGAAAATATCTGCCACCTCATTCACTCCCACAGCCCTCATTGTCCACAGGTATATTCAAGGTGTGTGGAGGTGGAAGAAGTCTCCGATTTCTTCACATTCATTTTTATGAGTTTTTTGGTTGTTTTTTGTAGCTTTCTGTCAAACGCCAATGAGCATATATCCACAAGGAAAAAAAAACCCAACCACCCCCACAAACATACTCTAGACTTCCATACATATTTATAGACTCGCATACTTTCTACAAGCCTTCACTCACGCATAGGTAGCCATCGATTCACTCGCATACACACACCCTATATCATTAGCCTTCTTTGATTACATACACGCTCATCTCCTTTACTCATGCAGGCACACCAGACACCGGGCACACTCACCGGTTTTCTCAACACCTAACACACGCAGATTCCTCTCGCTTCTCTGGGCGCACACCAACCCCTCGCCCAAGCAGACACGCACACACACGCTGTATGCCTGCTCACAGAGCACACACGAAGGCACGACACGCAGGGACTCGGGAACACAAACACCAGCCCTCCCCTGATGCAGCACACAGAGGGACCACCGCCACCGCCAGCCCCACCGCCTCCATTGTGCACCAGCCCCGGAGTCGGCCACCACCGCCGGCGGCGTCCGCTCGGCCCACCACCCACCCCGCCCGCCCAACGCACCCTTGCACCCGCCACTGCCCCGTACCCGGTCAGGTTACGGAGGGACGGTGCCGATGAGCCCACAGGCTCAGCACTTGCTGCCAACGACCAGCGGTTTGACATGGAGTTGTCCCCGCTTCCACCTTCATTGGTGCCGCCGCCCGGACCGCGGGGCGGGAGGGATGCGGCGGCGAGGAGCGCAGAGGGACGGGGAGCGGCGAAGGGCGTCTCCGCGCCGCGCGAGGAGACAATTCGAGTGACGGAGGAGGGGAGACGTGGCCGGGGGGGAGCCGAGCGATCCTGGGGGATGCGGGGGAGCCGGCCGCTGGCGCTTCCGCGCCGCCTCAGGGGCAGGGCAGGGCGGCTGAGCCCATCGCCGCCGCCGCCGCCGCCTCTCTCCTCCGATCAGCAGCGGCCGCCGTCGCCTCGCCGGCGGCATCGTCACCGCTGGTCACCGGCATCACCTGTGAGAGAGCGCGGGCGAGGGCGGCGGCGAGGCGGGGCGGGCGGCTCTCAGGCGGGCGCTCCATGAAAGCAGCAGCGGCAGCGCGGAGGATCCCGGTGCAGAGGCCAACGGCGGCCGGAGGGAAGGGGAAGGAGCCGGAGGAAGCTGGGAGCGGGCGAGTGAGGCTTCGGCGCACGGAATGGCAGTGGAGGGCGCCCGCGGCAGGCGCGGCGGAAGGGCCGGGGGTGGGCACGCGCTCCTCCCACCACACGGAGAACCAGGATTCGGAGTCATAGTTTGACTCGAGGAGAGCGGGAAAGCCTGGGGCTGTTGTCGACGCTCAAGGAAACTTGCGTTGGCAAGAAGTATGTTAAATAAAATCTATATGCATTCAGATACATATACATAAATAAATATATATATATATATATCGAAAGGGAAAAATAAAATGATAACGCTACCCGGTATTAAAGTTGGTATTAAAGTTTATGCCCTTGTGTGTGTTTAAACATCGGGGAAGAGTACAATGAAGGATCTGAATTCTGAAAACAGAAGTGTTCTCACCTTGCAGCACACAGCATTAGCACACGTTGCTGCAGAGAGCGCGGACGAGAGCACCTCCGTGGCTGGCTCGGCGGGATCTGAGGATACAGCCCCGCTGGGGCAGAACGGGACAGGACGAAGAAAGCGGTGCACACAGGATGAATGTTGCTCGGGAAGGCCGGAGCTGCCGGAGCTGAGGTGACAGCACGGGTTGCAGCGGAGAAGCTGTCATCCAGATGCAACATCCAGGCAACGCTGTATAGCCTTCCTGCTTGTCCCTTAGAACCTTGGAGCTCCACAGTCAGCGTGGCTGCAAATCAAAGCCATCAAAAGTTAGAAAACGTCAGAAATCATAAGCGAATCTTGATTCTGTTACCATGCTTTAGTCTGTTCCTTTGCTTTATATAATAAGAGAACACAGTCTTTCAGCTGGACGCGGCTTCTCTCGAAGCACGGGAGGCACGGTGCTTACCCATGTAAAAGCCAGCAATCTTCCCTCCCATCCATTCTTAAATATGTGTCCCTAGGCCGTATTTAGAGTGCATACTTCTTCGCTGGCCTTTCTTCAGCAGTGCTTGCTATAGTACTTCATAAACATCATTTTATGTCACCATCCTTGATGAAAGGGGTTGGAGAGGTAACGTAACTAATTTATAGGCGCAATTTATATCTATATAAAATATGTACTTATATTTATATATATAAAATATACAAATCTAGATATATTTTATATTTTTTCTATATCTAAATATATATATTTGCAATTTATGTGTATCTTGTATAGATGCAGATTATAGATGAAGAGCCACAATAGATAAATCAACTAATATCCTGCTTGATATCAATGACTGGATTTTTTTTTTTTTCCAGATAGACTATTGGCAGGATATCTGGTTCAGCAGTGCTCCCAAAGCCCTTTGTTTGCAGCTGACAATGCTTGGCATTTCTGCAAGTAGGTATCAAGCCAGATAATGAGAAACTCACAGGGACCAGCTCCCTAGAGGGCTCTGGGTTTGACTGATTAAGCACGGAATCACTGTGTTGGAGAAAGAACTCAGCTGTCAGGCCAGGACCCTGTTCGACGATCAGGGTCCTCTCTCTCCCTCTTCTTGTAATCCCACCACCTTACAGTTGTATCATTCAGGCCTTACAGAAAATAGTTCCCTTTCTTATGCAGTAGTCATTAATTTTTACGGCAGAATTATTCCATACTTTAAGTCGGGCTCAGTGAGAAAATAGCATATTATTTAGGTTTGAATGTGAAACATACAATGAAATATTTAGAAACAGTTATTATGGTTTATTCTTTTTAACTTCAGCATGCTGAACTTTGAGAAAACAAACATTTTTAAATGTCCTTAAAAAAATCCCCAACCCTAAGTTTGTTTGTATTGTAGACCAATGACCCAAGAGCAAGCATATTCTGCAGGACACTGTGGTGTAGTCAAACTTACAGATAAAAGGAAAACTAACATTTGGTGACCATTTTAGTTCATAAGTCCTGTGGTAACCTACTGAGAGATGTCAGCAAGACAATTTGATAGGCCAGAGGCATGTATGGAAACATGCATATATCTGTATATAATGTTGCATTGGTGCCCAGTGCATATTGATGATTTTTTTTATTCCATACAAGGAAGAATGCATTGGAAATACTGGCTTTGAATCACTTGTGTTCAGAACTTTCTAAAACACCTTTCACAACGTTTTACCATCAAGGTACAGAAAACTCATTCACTTAGAGGTCAAGTGAGTAATGCTGTAGCCTGCAGACTCTTGCAATATTTGCTGGGGAGCATCCTTCAAGGTTGTGCAGATGCTCTCTCCCTAGAGACAGAGGCTTTGGAAATCTCTTGAGCCTCCCCCAGGGAGGGCTGATCATTCTGCAGCAGTGCAGAGGCTGCAGGAACACAGAGCTTCCAAAGTCCTAGGATAACAAACCGGCTTCCTTCCCAAGAGAGATCCACCAAAACTGCAAGGCAGCTTCCACTGAAACTCCACCTAAGAGGCTAAAAAGGGTTGTCAAACCTCAGTCATACAACATTTAAATTAATTGAACATTTTCTGATCAAACACCACCAACACACTTGGACAAGCTCTGTTGACAGTGTAGAAGTGATAAACGGGCAGAGACTCATCTTACAGGGTGCCATAATTAATCTCATTTATTCAACTTAGTCCTCATTCCATCATCTAGTGGGTGAGCTGAATACAAATTTGAATACACATTTGTCATGTGAAAACAAAGCTAATTGTATCATTGAGGAAGATATTGTTAAAGGATTGACTTTTTTTAAAAAAAAAAAGGGTGGTACATGGCAGTGACATTTCGCAGTAGCTCAATACTGGGAGGAAATCATGCTGGAGGAATAGAGTGCCTTTAATGAAGCAGCAGAAAGAACAGAAATTAAATCCTCCAAACTGTAGCTTCATACGAGCAGGGAATTGAAGCCAACTCTTTGTTCTCAGCAAAGACCTCTCACTTGGGAGGTGTTGCCACAGAAGTCCTGAGCTTATTAGCTCTCTGCAGGGATTATTATGAGCTCTGTAGGCAGCAATGTACAGAGCAACAGCAATGATGTCAAGGGATCCCCAGCAAGGCTAAGGTTGCTGCTGAAACTGCGAACTACAGGGGGAGTAAAATAAGGATGCTTGAGCAAGGCAAGCAAAGGCAGTGAGGGCTGGAAAGATCTCAGGGAGGAGAAATCACAAGAGGCAGCACTGCCCTGGTGATTAAAGCAGGGGAAATAAGACAGAAAAAAAATAAAGGAAAAAAAAGAATATGATCCTAATATTTCATCAGATAAGGTAGTCCCTTAAATATTAAAGGTTAAAAAAAGAGAAGTAGCTCTTTTGTAAGGGCCTGGTGAGACCACTTCATGCCCCTGTGATACCTTGAAGTGGGGGAGGACAGGCATAGCAGAGAATGTGGGGACACATCAGGGAGGGCAGCTGTGTCAGAGAGGGCTTTGAGGGCTTACTGGTAGGGTGGCAGAGGGAGGACTGGCAGGCTGGGGGTATGACCAGCTCTGGTAACACTCCACTCCACAGAATAGGGATTAAGAGAGGACCTGTAACTGCAGGGAAAACAGGGGAGAGGGGAAACAGCCCCACAAATAAACTTTCACCATTTGTGTACAGACAAACCCCATGTTTCCACTTCTGTGTGGTATTTCAGGAGCAGCCCACACAATTCACATGGTCTGCCTGACAGCCAGCCCTGAGCTATCACTAACAGCTTAGAGATTCCAGGCAGCCTTTACATGTACGAACCTGCTGGTGAAAGGGTCCACAAGGAACACCTGAAAATTTACACACGGACTGATCTTTATCCCAGATGAGCTCGCTTTCCTTCCAGTGTAACTCCTCCTCCCCTTTTCCCTCACAGCAGCTGCAAAGCAGTGCAAGGAGCCAGCTGTAAACCTTGACTTCGGTCAAAGGAAATTAGTTTTACAGGTGGAAAAGTAGGGTCAGTTTAGTTTCTCTGCACTGCGAAAGATTAGAATATGTCTACATAAGCTGCTATTAACTTCAGGTATTGCTTTCAGAAGCTGAAGAAATAATGATAAATTTCATTGGAGAGTCCTTGGCTGAATTATTTTCCACTTGGAAATGTAATGCTGTTCAAAATGCAATGATTTCTTAAGTCTTTTCAGAGAAACGGACAACACTGAGTATGCTCCATTGTCATGTTCTGAAACAAATATTTAATTTTTGCATAATGAATACAGCTTTTTGTCATAGTAAAATGTCCAAATAACAACATCTTTTGGTCCCTTGAAGAAAAGAATTCCCACTCAAGTTTTTCTAACCAGCACTGGCGATGTGGATTGACTGGCACTGCAATTAAAGATCTATTTTAACTGAATGGATAACTCCAGCACTGCTCATATATGCAGATATTTTTTCCCCCAATTCAAAGGGTTTTTCTTGGCCTTTGATTCAAGTCAGTGACGAGACATTACAAATGCAGATAGTAAATCAATACCTCAGACATTAGCAATAGATTCTGCATACTTGCCCCTCTTCTAGACCATGAATTTACACACACAAGTTACTACTCAATCAGAAGAATTGGCAGTCACAGCTAGTTGTGGTTTGAGAAGTGGGTCATTCAGAGATCCTTGGCCTCATAATCTCAGCTCTTAAAAGGCTGAAATGTGATCTCAGCCCCTAACCTCAGTGATGGATGAAGATGCCATGACAGCAATGTAGGAGAGGAAGGAAGGAAGTAAGGTGATACTACGGGATAAATATCCCAACTCTCCACAGCATGAAAGCAGCCTCACAGGTTGATCTAAGTCACCAAAAATCATCTGGAGAGGGCTTCCAGGGCGGCAGAGGGAGGCAGAGGTGCACTGGAGACTTTTCCCAAGTACCGGTAGATGGAGCGCTGTGGTACCGAAGATATCCTCTGCTCAGCCGGCTGCACCCTGCCAACAGGACTTCTGCACCACGGATACTACCTCCGGAGCGCTGCCAGAGCTTTACTGGCAGTGTTATTGCAACAAAATACCTGTGGATACTTGGAATCCGCAGTTAGAATATCTTTTTTTAATCATTATTTTTTTAAATTTAATTAAAGCGGGGGGGGGAGGGGGGAAGCGTCTGCTTAGTCTGCTTAGAGAATATTTCTCTGCAAAAGACATTGACCTTTAGCCAACAGTTTGCATGTATTAAAATACCTGAAAGATTGCACTTATCATGAAATAGAAAAGTCCCACTGGCTACTCACATATTTGTTTTAAACAATACCATTATTCAGAAAAATAAAGCTTTCTTCTACTCCCTTTGCACATCCTCACAAACACATGCATGTACACACACGCATGCGCATTCAGACACGTGCAGCAGTTTTAAGTAAGTACTGCTGTTAATATCAATTATGCTATTACTTATAAAAAGATTTTTATTTTTTTTACTCTTTGTGAACTCCTTTAAAGGAATCTTTTCTCATGAATAAGAATGTTATTAGTGTTCACAGGAAGTCTAAATTATCATTTGTCTTTCACCATATAAGTTGATTGCAAGCAGGCAATTAGTTGTTAAAATTGTCATTAGGAAACATTGGGAATAGTCTAACAGGATTGACCATTTTCAAGACGTGGATTAAACTAGTTTCACTGTTCCCTCAGCAGTTTATAAAGTAAAAGTGGGGAACAGCCTTTGCTCCTTGTTCTCTTCAGTGTCATGTTCAAAAAGGTTGTTTGGCTAAAATGCAAAAAAATTTGCTTCCTGCAAGACTTATTTCTTTCAGCCTAGTCCTCTCTCCCCCAATTATTTTTTAAATAACATACCAGAATCTCACAA